ATAGTCTAGTCTTATGGAAGCATTTTCTCAATTAGATGTCCTTTAGCCTATGTCAATTTGACATAAAATTAGCCAGCACAGAAGCCTTCCATCAATTGAAGGTATATCCTTGAAGAGAAAGTTGGAATCCTAGAAGCTTGAGAATTATAAATCAATCAGTCTTTCTTTCTTTTGTTTTGTTTTTGTTTGTTTTTGAGGCAGAGTATCACTCTAACACTGGAGGCTGGCCTAGAACTCACTGTCTATATGTTGTCTAGCCTTGAACTCACATGCCTATAACCTTAGCACTTGGAAAGCAGTGTCACTGTGAGTTCAAGGCTGCTAAGACTTTGCACTGCTTTTAGAGAGGACCCAAGTTCAGCTCCTGGCACCTAAGTGGGGCAGCTTCCAGGTACATGTAACTTCAACTCCAGAGGATCTGATGATGCCTTCTGCTGGACTCTGAAGGCCCCTGAATTCACACACACACACACACACACACACACACACACACACACACACACGAGAGAGAGAAAGAGAGAGAGAGAGAGAGAGAGAGAGAGAGAGAGAGAGAGAGGCTTTTTATTTTAAAGAATTTGATTATCCCAGACATCTGTTATAGTGACACTAAGCTGAGGCATACAGCTAGCAAATCTTAAAGCCGACATAGCCCTGTACTCTTTGGTGAAGCTGTTTCCCAGGGGTGGTATGGGTTAGCAACCCTGATACTGTTACACATGTGTACTAGAATTGATGGATGGCAGATGACAGGTAGAAATATGTATATACAATGAAACATTATTGTCTTAGGAAGAAATTCTAACCCACACTTCAACACAAGTGAACTGTAGACAAATAAAACATGCCAATGTCATGAGACTTATCTTCTGACTCTTCAGGGTAACTCCATTTTGTTGCAGGCTGCAATGTATCTGATCTACTTGCCAGGCGGCAGTGAAAAGAGGCATCTACCCCACAGGCAGTGTTTGCTGAGACCAACAGAATCCCCATAAGAGAAAGGGCAGAGTCCATGTGAACATGTACCTTTGCTCGAGTCTGACCCTGTCTCTGCTGCTCTAACTCTGAGCAGTGATCTAAACCAGGATTGCTCCTGAGTCATAGAAAACAGAAGTCCAGTAGACGTAAGTAACCCTGATAGACTCTTTTGCCCACCAGGTAAGCTTGCATGAGTCATTCTTTTTGGCTGTTAGTGCCATCTCAGTTTGGAGGCGGATAATAATTTTACATTTTCCCTGGAGAGCCACCTAATAGCATAAGAAATAACAAAGCAACACATTATGTGTTATTTACTTCTGAGAGCAATGTAGAATAGCCAAAGACCAAAGACAGAGAGGAGAACGGCAGCTGTCAGGGACTGGGGGTGGGTGGGTAGGGCCAGGCAAGGAGGAAACGGGAAACTGGTGTTGGTGAGTATACTCTTCCAGTTCTGCCAGATGAAAAGGTGTTTGGTTGGAACATAAAGGCATGTGCCTGTAATCCCAGCACTGGGAGAGCTGAGGTGGCAGGATCAAGAGAGCTAGACCTTGAGCTAGGGGGATACAGCTTAGTGGGCGAGCACTGGTCAAGTGAGCATGAAGTCCTGGGTTCAATCTCCAGGACTTAAAAAAAAAAAGGCTCTCTCTGTGTATGTATGTACACAGCCTGAGCCTGGGCTATGTAGCAAAACCCTGTCTCTCAAAAAAGAAAAGTTGTAGAGACTGGTTATAAAGCACTGTGAACATATTTAACACTACTGTAGATGACAAATGATCCTTTGCTTGAGTTACTGCCTCAAGAACATGACACCAGCCAGATCAGTCACAACCCCAGACATTCCTGACTAACCCCCAGGTTGGCTGGCCCCAGGGCTTCCGGGCTTAACAAAGGCCAGAGGGATAACTCAAGAGAGATGGGGTCAGCTGCACAGAGTTACCCTCTCCTCTTGGGAAAGATCTGGATGTGGATGCTGCAGTCCAGGCCTGTGCTACCTGGTATCTTTGGAGTTTGAGGTTGGAACTTCCCTGTGGAGAATCTGCAGTTGTCCTGCTGAGATGTGATTTCTGATTAAGTTCAAAAGCAGATTAAAAAATAAATTAACTGTTGGCATTCCTTCTAGGCTCCGCCCCACAGTTACCTGGCAACAGCCAAGTATGCCTGACTCAGTGTAAAAGGGGCTGTTTCCCCCCTCCTCACTCTTAGCTTCTTAGTCTCTGCCCCTTCTCTGCCTCTCTGCCCATTCCCCTCCCTCCTCTCTCTACATGTTCCTTGCTAGCCTCTCCTTTCCTCTGTCTACCTCTCTCTCTCTCTCTCTCTCTCTCTCTCTCTCTCTCTCTCTCCCCTCCCCCCTCTACTTCCTCAACATGCCCTAAATAAACTCTATTCCATACTGTATCCATCATACGGCTGGTATCTCAGGAGGAAGGGATGCCTCCGCATGGGCCTGCTCACCACACCATGCCTCTACCATACATATCCTAGTTCATTCTTTCTTTTTTATAAAACACAACATTAACACCTTTAGTGAGGTCAAAGAACAAGTCTCTCAGATTGTAAAGGTCTACTCCATGGACTCCACCACCTCTGGTCTTAGCGGACAAAGCTCCCCTTGACCAAGATAGTCATGCATACAGCCAGTGGAAGAGGCCTGACCAAGATAGTCATGCATACAGCCAGTGGAAGAGGAGATCAATGAGCCCCTAGGCCTGTCCATTAAATACAGTCACTGTATAAACTGACCACATGACCACTCCACGGAATGATTAAGGGGAAGGTTTGTATTGTCAATATGAGAGAACAGCCAGAGGCATCTGGAAGATTCTAGAGCAGAGAGAAAAAGAAAGAGATCAAACATGGTAAAGCTGTCAGTGAGCCAAGGGCAAGTAACAGAGGAGAAGATAGGGGAAATGTAGTGAGGATAGAGGGTCTTAAAGGAGAATGAGAAACTGGGGGTGGGTTGGGGAAGCCTGTAACATGAAGATGGTTTAGGGGAGGGTGGAGAAAGGATGCTAGCATGGACTTTGAAATATATAACAGGTACTTATGACAGCCCCACAGGCAGCCACATCTCCCTCTGCCAGAGGAAAGGGAAATCACCCCTTTTGGCAGATGGGAACCAGTTTCACAATTTCCTGAAGAATGCTGGCTTTTATCTAACCGTCAGAATTCCTCCTTTAGCCCAGGTTGAGTTCCTTTCTGGATATTTGGACTGCCTTTTGGAGTTTGAGGAACTGAAGTTTCCTTTGGACCTGACAGCCACCTCTAGGTTTGAGAAAGGAAATGTCCCCAGGAGCCAGGATAACACTCCTTCAGACTGCTGTCGATGGAGAGATAAATGGATTCAGGAAATCTCTTCCCTATTATGAAGAGCTTAACATGGTCTAGAATGTCTCAGACTGTGAGGCCACAGGTACGTACGTACACCTATAAAATGTTAACCGTCACACCTGACTCTTGAACGGGATCACTTGAAACCATCCTTTTTAAGTTTGTAAAATATTTTATATTGTAATGTTTTTATTAATGTGTGGTCTTGGAAATGAAAAAAAAAAGCAAAGGTTGTAGTTTAACAGATTGTGTATTAAGTTGATAAGGGGTCAATTGTGCCTGACAGTTTTATGACAACCTGACACAATCTATAATCATCTGAGAAGAGAGGACTTCAGCTGAGGAAATGCCTCCATAAGATCAGGCTGCAGGCAGACCTGTAGAACATTTTCTTAATTACTGATTGATGACGGAAGACCCAGCTCATTGTGGGTAGAGCCGCATCTGGGCTGGTGCTCCTGGGTTCTATAAGAAAGCAGGCTGAGCAAGCACAGAGAACAAGCCAGTAAGCAGCACTCCTCCATCAGCTCCTGCCTCCAGGTTCCTGCCCTGTTTGAGTTCTCATCCTGACTTCCTCCGCTGATGAACAGTGACGTGTAAGTGTAAGCCAAATAAACCCTTTCCTCTCTAACTTGCTTCTGGTCATTGTGTTTCATCACAGCAATAGTACCTCTAATTAAGATACGTGGGAACCAAAGCTCTTGGCAAAGCCCAATATAATAGAAGGGGTGACCACACAAGTCCTTCCTCCTAACCTAAGTATAGGCATTTCCCAAATACTCTCAGAAGTTTGATATACTCCAAGGTAGACAACTGGAGAGGTGGCTTAGCCGTCAAGAGGGTTTGCACCTCTTGTGGAGGACCTGAGTTCAGTTCCCAGCACCTACGTCAGGGAACGTCACAACTTCAGCACCTGGGGATTCAATGCCATTTTCTGGCCTCCTTGGGCACCTACATACATGAGACTTACATACAGAGAAACATACATTTTAAAGATTATATCTTGTTTGGATACTACAAAGTTTAAACGAAGACAGGAAGTAGGGAAGACCTAAGGATGTCAAGGGCCCTTTTTATTCTCCTTGTTCTGACTTCCGCTCTGGCTGGCTGACACCCGAACCTGACTCTCTGCAAAAGAACAGTAGATCCTTCTGAGAGACATCACAGATAAGATCACTTAAGTGGTAGTTGTGCCTTTTGCCCAGCTTCCTTGTGACTTGAGCACACCGAGCCCCTGACAGACTGTTCTCTTATCTGTGTTGTGATATACAATCGGGAGTCTGCACAACCATACCTTTTAAAAAGTCTGCTTTTCAAGGTCCAAATTCTGTGGATAAGCTAAAAAAAACAAAAACAAAAAAAAACCAACCCACGTTTTCCCTAATAGCCACGTTAAGCTACAGATTTAGCTGTGTCCAAGGCCCCATCGCACACAGCCAGTGCTCAAACAGAATGCATCCTCTCCTAAGGCCTACACCCCGGCATCTTGTCCAGGGCTTAGTGGACAACCGCCCTGGCTACTGCTGTGTCTGTGTGCACCCCACGCTGGACTGAGGGGAGCCGCGGCCGCACAGTCAGCAGTCGGCTTTGCATTTTGCAGCTAAGGGACACACCCAGGTCAGGAGGCCACACCTTGGGGCCTCAGGCGGCGCGGCCTGGCAGCGTAGGACCGCCCTGAGTCAGCTGGCGGCGCGTGCACCGCGTGACCCGCGGCCACGTGACGCGCGCGGGCCGGGCCACTTGTGCTGTAGCCGCTGCAGCCGCGGGAAGCCTGCGAGTAAGTGGGAGCGACCCGGCAGGATCCTCCGAGCCCCGGACCTAGGTCAAGGCGGGCCTGAGGGGGCGACGCGAGCGCCGTCTGGGCTGGGGACGCCGGGCTGCACGGACAGACGGCGAGCCATTAGCCCTCTCTGCGCAAGGTTACCTGTATCCCTTGGTGCCTTGGGGGAAACTAGGGACCTCTGGTAAACTGTGAAGGCGGAAAGTACTCCACCCTCCCTGTGCCTTGCCACCTCCTTCTTTAAGTGCCCCAAGGTGACTCCGAGGCATCTCTGGTAGCGAAGGGAGTCCATGGAGGCAGAGGACCTGCCCTAGGTGAGGATGAGGATGTGGATGTGGGCAGGAGCAGGCCCAGCTGCTAGGTGACAGTGGCTCGCCGACTGTAGGTTATGTGCTGTCGTGATATCGAGGAGGCAGGTATTACTGAGTCCAATTTTATGCAGGAAGGAGCCAGAAAATTCTGGTGCTTTGTAAGGTCCTCCCCAGCCAAGGACTGACCCCACAGTACCGCCTCCTGGTGGTTGGTGGAGACGAGCCGTCCAGCTTGTCCACCTGTGAGCTGGGAGAGGGCTGTTGCTTGGCTAAAAGGACTCTATCCCCCTCCTCAGCCTTCTCTGTCTCTGCCCTCCCCTTAATTCAGCTTGTTATCTCCATGCTGCAGGTCGAGATGAAGCTCATTATCCTGGAACACTATTCCCAGGCCAGCGAGTGGGCGGCCAAGTATATTAGGAACCGCATCATCCAGTTTAACCCAGGGCCTGACAAGTACTTCACGCTGGGGCTCCCCACCGGTATGCTGTGGAAAAGAGGGTGGTGGGTAGGGGATTCCAGGTGGGGGAGAATATTAGGGTTTACAGGAGCAGAGCATAACAGGTGGTCAAAACAAGATAATCACAACTAAGGCAGGGGGGGCGTCGTTCATACAACCTTTTGAAACAAAGGGAGGCTTACAAGATGGTTTTAAATAACTTTTTGAAATAAAGGCACAATTGCTGTTCCTGGGACAGGCAGTAAAGAACCAGCCCTGGATAAAGTTCCAGGTGAGGCATAGCCCAGTCCTGGAAAAACAGAGTTTTAATCATAAACAGGAAGCAGACATTAAATCGTAACTCAGGCCTGTTCTCTGCATGTAGGGGGTATTATTAGCTGAGCCCTCCTCATAGGAGAACTGAGAAGTTAATCATTCGAATACTTTTCTGTAAAGCTTAATTGATTATAAAATCCAATTGTCTTCTGAAAAAAAAAAAAAGTCTGAATGTTACCTTTACAGGAAGATATTTTGGCCCAGTGCCTCAAAAAAGTATCCTAAATATTTCCTTCACAAGTGGGGAGATGGGTCTTGGTGGTTTTGCCTGACTCATCCACCATAAAGAGGCCTTCAGACTTTTGGCTTCACTATTGTAGCTCCTCAGTTTGCCATTGTAGGTAGGAAAACAGCCGCGGGCAATAGATATGTGGATGCATGTGACTGACTATATGTCAGAAAGACTTTATGTATGGACACTAAAGTGTGAGCTTACATAATTTTTGCATTATGAAATGTTTTTTTTTGTTTTTTTTTTGTTTTTTTTGTTTTGGTTTTTCGAGACAGGGTTTCTCTGTGTAGTCCTGGCTGTCCTGGAACTCACTCTGTAGACCAGGGTGGCCTCGAACTCAGAAATCCACCTGCCTCTGCCTCCCAAGTGCTGGGATTAAAGGCGTGCGCCACCACTGCCTGGCATGAAATATTCTTTTGATTTAAAAAAAATATTTTAAAACTTTAAAACCATTCTTGGGCTGGAGAGGAGGCTCAGCAGTTAAAAGCATGACTGGTCTTGCGAGGAACTGAGTTCAGTTCCAAGCACCTATATCAGTATGCGCCCAACCATCTGTAACTCCAGTTCCAGGTGATGTTCGGCCCTCTTCCTCTTCGGGAGTCTGCAGACACGTGCATAGTCTCACACATAGTGAAAAGGAGATTTTGGTTGCTTGGTTGGTTGGTTGGTTGGTTTGATTTGGTTTGGTTTGGTTTTGAGAATATGGTCTCACTAGGTAGCCTTGGCTTGGAGCTGACCATGTAGACCAGACTGGGCTCAAACTCAGAAATCCGCCGTTGTCTCTCCCCAGTGCTAGGATTAATGGTGTGCACCACCACACCTGGCAAGTAAAGCTGTTTAGCTGCTGAGCCACCTTTCCAGTCCTTATCAGCAGATAAGTTTTTGAGTACCTGCTGTATACCAAGCAGTTATGCTTCTGGGGATATAGCAACAACATTTTAAAAAAAAACAAACATAAATGCCTACTTCTTAAAGCTTAGATTATAGTGGGAAAGACAGAGGGTAAGCAAGTTAATTAGCGAAATGTAGAATATGTTAGAAGGCAACAGGAGAGAGGCTGGGGGGTGTGCTTAGTGAGGACTGTGTCAGATGTGGTGGCAGAAAAGGTCTCTGAGAAAGAGGCACTAAAGGAAGGCCTTCAGTTAGCCATGACATGACCTGAAGGAAGAGCTTGGCCTGCTGAGAGGACAGTGGTACAGAGGCCTTGAGGTAAAGCCCATGACAGGCTGGAGCAGCCTTTGCAAGGTTATATTTATGAGGCAGAAGGATGACACTATTGGATTTTGAAAAGGAGAATGACGGTCTCGGCTGGATGAGCGTTAAGTGTGAAAGTTTCAACTATTCAGAACTGACATCCGCAGCATAAAGCTGTTTGTCTAGATTCACCAGTTAATATCTTGGCACATTTGCTCTTTTCTCTGCCTCTTGTTCTCTGTCTACCCTTGTAGTTTGTTGCTGGAATCAAATGAAAGGTTCTGGGCATCCTGACACTTTAAATCTTGTGTCCCAAACCTCCCAAGAATGAGGACATTTGTCCCCCATAACCACTATAGACCCAAGGACAGGTCTGCCACAGCATGTTGCAGTATCATTTGATACACAGCTATTCAGAAGCTTTCCCTAATAGTCTACATTAATCGTGTTTGGGGCGTTAGTGTTCATTTCTTTCTCCTTGTCTGTATACCTGGTTAGGAACTATTCCTGCATCTATAAGCCCTCCTCCACCACCACATTCCATCTTGGAAGGTTAGTTTTAAACTAACCCACTTTCCAGTCAGTGTTCTTGTATCTGTGTTCTTTTTTGGGCCCATCACTGAGCCATACCCACAGTTCAGCTCTTCGGTCTTACTCTCTATGATCTTCCTGCCTTTTGTGTGCTTACCTGCTCATGAGACCTCCACTCAGGACTATGTCATTGTCATAAGTCTTCCCTGAACTCTGAAGCACAGGGTGACTCTGTCACTGCTTACATCTCTGTTGTGTCCCCATTTCTACAGAGTCTCTTCTAGGCTTGTTGTTTCTGTCTTCCCATCTTCAGCCCTGTGCCTTGCACATAGTAGATGCTTCTAGAATATCACATAAGTAATCAAGTCTGGCACTCACGCAGATGCTAACCAGTGACTTCTGTCAGCTGTGTGGCTGGCCCCAGGGAGACCCTCACAGTCCTATTCTCTAGAGCAGAACAGTCTACTGGGCGTTAGACACCAAGCACAGAGTGGATAGGTGGTAGGTGAGTTGGAGCTTTGGTGAGACTGCAGACCTGACAGAAACTTCCTGATGCTCCTGGGAGCTGAAGGATGTTTGTGGTGACGTTCCTACTTGCTTCTCACAGGGAGCACCCCACTTGGCTGCTACCAGAAGCTGATTGAATACTATAAGAATGGGGACCTGTCCTTTAAATATGTGAAAACCTTCAACATGGACGAGTATGTGGGTGAGTGTCTTTCATGTTCTTCCTGATTCTTGGGGAATCATCTCCTCACGGGCTCAGCCTTGAAGAGGAATGGTTCACTGGTGCTTGTCTCTTACAGCCTTGCTTGGCCAGCTGTAAAATGGCACTTACCTCAGTAGTAGTACTCACAGATGCCATGATTGAGACAGAAGCTTCTTGTGCATTGTGGACATTTTAGAGAACACTTGCTAAATATGAAGGTGCTTTTTGCCCTCTACTTGGTCCCTAACTCCATGCCATTTCTCTCTGCAAATTTGATCCTGGGATCCAGATTCTATGTCTGAACTGTGTTCCCTCTTTGTGCCTGGCACCATTGGTAGAGGCTGAGACTTGTGCCTTTGGATATCTCCTCTGTCACCCAATCATTTTGTGACGGTTTCTTTTTCTTTTCTTTTCTTTTTTTTTTTTTTTTTTTGGTTTTTCGAGACAGGGTTTCTCTGTGTAGCCCTGGCTGTCCTGGAACTCACTCTGTAGACCAGGCTGGCCTCGAACTCAGAAATCCGCCTGCTTCTGCCTCCCAAGTGCTGGGATTAAAGGCGTGTGCCACCACCGCCCGGTGACAGTTTAATTTAATTTAATTTAATTTATTTTTAAATTATTTGTTTTTAAGATTTATTTATTTTATGCACATGAGTACACTGTAGCTGTCTTCAGACACACCAGCAGAGGGCATCTGACCCCATCACAGATGGTTGTGAGCCACCATGTGATTGCTGGGAATTGAACTCAGGACCTCTGGAAGAGCAGTCAGTGCTCTTATCCCCTGAGCCATCTCTCCAGCCCGACAGTTTAATTTTAAATGTTAAAAAACAAGCAAACAAATAGAAACCTGGTAAAATAATTAACATTTGCCATCTTCAAAACTGGGTCCCAACTCCTGGGGTCTTGGGAAAGGGTTGATAAGGTAGGAGGTTCCATTAGATGGAGGAATCGAGGGCACCTGGGAAACACAGTCATTTTTGTCTAAAAAGCTCAAAATCAAGGCTGGAGTGATGGTTCAGTGGTTAGGAACACACACTGGTTTTAAGGCCATCACTAGGAAGGCAGGAGGAGGATTTCAGTGCGTTTAAGTGGTAGCATGTTTTCAAGGTCTCAGTGAGACCAAGGCAGTCGGTCTACATAGCAAGTTCCAGGATAGCCAGGACTCCATAGAGACCCTGTCTCAGCCCCATTCCCTACCAGAAAAAGAACACACACTGTTCTTACATAGAACCCAACTTAATTTCCCAGCACTCACCTCAGATGGTTACCTCTTAACTCCAGCTCCAGAGACCCAGCATCCTCTTGTGACCTCCTAGGGCACTGCACTCCCACCCCAACTACCACAACAGACATCTTTCTATCGTACAGTTCAGAAGTCTTGAGTGGTTTCACACCACTGTGAGACTCCTATCAGAACTATGCACTCTCAGCCTGCTGAGCTGTGGCTTCCTGTCAAGCAGCTCCCTGGGTCTCCATCTTTAAATGTGCCGGAAAACAATGTTTCTCCCTATTCCCCAGAATCTTGACTTCTCCAGGCACCTCATGAGTCAGGTCATTAATGTGTTTATTTGGCTATTTGTGCCTGGATGGTGGGTAGCATGTTTTCAGGGTTCATCCATATATAGTATGTGGCAGAATGGTTTTCTTTCTCCTTTGTTCTGAGGCAGGATCTTGCTGTGTAGCTGAGGTTGGCCTGGAACTTGTCATCCTCCATTTTACCTCTCAAGTGCTAGGATTGCAAGTGTGTACTTCTGTGCACAGCAGTTTCTTTAAAGACTAAATGTATTTTGAAAATTACCAGTGTGTGTGTGTGTACATACCAGAGGATTACATGCTGGAGTCTGTCCTTCCACCGTATAGATCCTCGAGATCAGTCCATCCTCAGGCTTGGTGATAAGTACCTTTAGCCACTGAGCCATCCTGCCATCCCTGCTTTTAAATATGTTTTGACACAAATTTTTCTTTTGTTTTGCCATAGCTGAAGATTGAACCTGAGGCCTGGGGTATGCTTGGCAAATACTCTACCCCTGATGAACATTCTCAGTCTGATTTTTAAAAAAGAATTATAGTGTTTAGAGACAGGGTTTCACTATGCAAGCCTTGGTTGGCCTGGAACTTACTGTGTAGATTAGACTGGCCTTGAACTCTTAGAAATCCATCTGTCTTTGTCTCCTGGATGCTGGGATTAAAGACATTGTCTTTAATTTTTTTTGTTGTTGTTGTTTTGTTTTTTTTGTTTTTTTGAGACAAGGTTTCTCTGTGTAGCCCTGGCTGTCCTGGCACTCACTCTGTAGACCAGGCTGGCCTCAAACTCAGAAATCCGCCTGCCTCTGCCTCCCAAGTGCTGGGATTAAAGGCGTGTGCCACCACCGCCTGGCATCTTTAATATTCTTATTTGTTTTGCTTTGAGACAGGGTTTCTCTGTGTAGTCCTGGTTGTCCTGTAGCTTGACCTGTGGAACAGACTGCTCTCAAACTGACAGAGATTCACCTGCCTCTGCTGCCCAGGTGCTGGGATTAAAGGCATGCACCAGCACCACCAGGATGTCTTGAAATATTCCTAACATTGAAATTCTTCTGACTAACAATAACAAGTTTTAGGAAACTCTGATATTCTCCCCAACCACTCAATACTTAAGTCAAGGTTCAGGTTTAGTGGGGATGATGGAATGAGGGGTGAGGTAGAAGGCAGGGGATGAGGACTGTGCGTGCTACCTTTCCCTGTGGGCTCAGTTCTGCTACCCAGGTGGGCAGGCTACCTCCAGCTGCACAGTGTCCCTAGACTGCAGTTTGTGACCATTCTCTTATGTAAAGGTGATGTGTGTGTGCTTCCCAACCCCAAGCCGGTGCTGGAGATCAAGCTGAGGGTCTCACATGCTAGGCAAAAGCTCTAGGTAAGTGAGCTACAATGGGGTGAGAATGAGGATTTCCAGTTCCTAGCACTGTCCCCTCCATATGTAGCTATAGCAGAGTGCAGATCGTGCCTGTGGTTGACTGCACACCAGCTCAGTCTGTTCTACACGTTGGGGGTTAGATGGACAGTCTCCCAAGTGACCCTGAAGCCAGTGTGATCTCTTGACATTCTCTTGAGAGGAGGGCTCTGGCTCAGTCTCAGCTGAGTGTCCCCTGACCCCACAGGTCTTCCTCGAGAGCACCCAGAGAGCTACCACTCCTTCATGTGGAATAATTTCTTCAAGCACATTGACATCCACCCTGAAAACACCCACATTTTGGATGGGAATGCGGCAGACCTGCAGGCCGAGTGCGACGCCTTTGAGGAGAAGATCCAGGCTGCAGGAGGGATTGAACTCTTTGTCGGAGGTGAGCATGGCACATTCCATGGTGCGGTATGTATCCAGGCCCAGGCCTGGACTGGCTGCAGTGCAGTATGTGAGCAGGAGAACACGCCTATCTCCAGGTGGCCGCTCAGTGCTAACACCTCAGAGTCATCCATCACCATGTGGGACAGGGGAGGCATAGATGGGAGCCCTAGTTCCTGCCTCAGCCCTTCTGCTCTGGAACTGTGTGACCTGAGGTGGCCTCTTCATACACTCAGTGTCTCCTGGGGAGGTTTGGATTTGGATCCTGATATCCTCAAAACTGCCTTACCAAACAAACATCCATGTAACTTAGCTAAACATTTAAAGTCATAGACTCCAGTTCCAAAACAGTGTTTAGTCCTTGTATACTGTCTGTCAGTTGAATCCCAGGGAAGCCAAGAACATGGGGAGAAGGTAGGAACCTGGGTGTCTACCTCTTGGGTACCCACAGTGTCCACATGCTGTCATGTTGAGAGTCACCTTGGGTTTAAAGCTGGGTGGTATCTTACTCCTTAGCCTAACTCTTATAAGAGAAAGAGGAGGGCTGGACATTGTGGCAACATCTTTAATCCCAGCACTTGGAAGGTGGAGGCCAATGGATCTCTGAGTTCAAGGCCAGCCTGGTCTACATACTGAGTTCCCCACTGCCTGGGCTGTATAATAGACTCTGCCTTTATTAAAAGAAAGGAAGAAAGAAAGCAGTGATGAGGAGGCAGGAGCTGGCAGGTCCTGAGCACTCATGACCTCAGCCGTCCAGGCTGAGGTTTGTTTGCTGGGTTCCAGCTCTGGGCAAGAGGGGCAGGGGAGAAGCTATACTTCTCCACAGTGTGGGCTGAGAGGGAAGCTATTTTGCACAGTTCTGATCTGTCCGAGGGTGGAGACAAGTTACCAGAGTCTTGTGTGTGTCTCAAGTCTGAGAGATGGGGAGGGAGGTCACATGCATAAGGAAGCTCTGACCTAGTGCACAAGGAGAAGAAATGCAAGTTTCAAAGATCTTTTTCTGAGCAGAGGACACGATTTATTTTTGGAGTTTTGGGTCCCTGTAGCTCATAGAGCTGCTCTGCCATCTCCACAGGCATTGGCCCCGATGGACACATTGCCTTCAATGAGCCAGGCTCCAGTCTGGTGTCCAGGACCCGTGTGAAGACTCTGGCCATGGACACCATCCTGGCCAACGCTAGATTCTTTGATGGTGATCTTGCCAAGGTGCCCACCATGGCCCTGACAGTGGGTGTGGGCACCGTCATGGATGCTAAAGAGGTAAACGTCCAAGGCTCAGATGGCCAGCTGCTGCTAAAGTTGGACAGAGGGGTTGGTTATTTGGTTATAAATGTTAAGCTGCACAGTCACCAAGTATTCATTCTTACTAAAGCTGAACACTTGATAAATAAAGCCAAACTCCTAGCTAGTCTTGGCACTGCTTCTCCTCTGCTTTAGAGGAGAGGTCATTCCTGGGGGAGGGCAATTCTCTGAGCATCTTGTCTATAGAACCAGGGGCTGGGCTGTGTGTCTCTGCTTTTGCACCCCTTTCTTACAGCTTGTGGGCAGATGCTCCCAGCACTGATAGAGGGATAAGAATTTGTACCTCCCTTGGTTCTGAGCAGACACATATGGTCCCTGCAGTTGGTTTGAAAGTACACACCCTGCAACCCAAGGATGCTGTGTTGGTAGCCCTGTGCTTGAGGGCAGTAAATGCAGTAAATTGTGATGGAATGTTTTGGGCTGAGTTTAGTGAGTTTTTCTCCTAAAAAGTCAGATACTTTAATTCAATTTTATTTTTGTGGTTCCAGTTTCCCTACTGTGTCTAAACTTTATCTTATTTTTCCAAATCCTGTTTCTCATACATGTCTGCATGTGTGTGTATATATGTGTATGCAAATGCATGTCACAGTACTCTCATGGAGTTCATAAGATAACATGTGAGTCATTTTTCTCTTCCATGTGAGACCCAGGGATGACCTCAGCTTTTGAGCTTGGCTGCAAGCACCTTTACTTGCTGAGCCATTCACTGACCTATGTGTTTGAATTTTGAAGTGTTCTTTGTTTCTATGAGATATTATACTCAGTGGGAAATGGATGTAGATGTTTACTTTCCAACTTCTTTGTTCAAGTCCATAAGTAAGCAGATAAATCAGTGGAGAGGTGAACTCTAGTGAATGAATGGTACCAGGATTTCCACTGGATGGCCTGAATCCATCCCTCGGGTCTAGTCTACTTGCCTTTTGAAAGCATGAGGGTTTGCAGACCAGCCATAACAGGGAGGAATCTGATCTGGGAATGGAACAAAGACCAGAAGTAAGTTAGGGCTTTAGTCACCTTCTGTGCCTCTGTGTTTAGTCCTTTGAGACAGGAGCAGTAATGCCTACCTTTAACCCCAGACCCAGAGACAGAGGCAGGCAGATTTTGAGTTCAAGTAGGGAGTGGAGGGAGTACTCAGGTGAAAGGACAGTCTGTAGAGCTGAATTCTTAGGGTCACCTCAGCACCTGTGCTCTTGGTGTCCTAGCTCCAGTGCAGCCGTGCCTTTGCTTTCTATAAACAGAACAGCACACTGAGTCACACAGCACTTCCAATGCTCTGAACCTGAAAGAGAGCAGACAAGGGTAGCTTTTCTGAGAGTCAACCTCAGGGGCCCACCAGTACCTCCCACCCTGGCTTCCCAAGCTCGCCTGTCTCCATCGCTGCTCTGTCTCCATCGCCGCCCTGTTCTCTGATCCCCAGGTGATGATCCTCATCACAGGTGCTCACAAGGCTTTCGCTCTGTACAAAGCCATTGAGGAGGGCGTGAACCACATGTGGACGGTGTCTGCCTTTCAGCAGCATCCTCGCACCGTGTTTGTGTGTGATGAGGATGCCACCTTGGAACTAAAAGTGAAGACAGTCAAGTATTTCAAAGGTGAGGCTCAGGCCTGAGTGGGAGGGAGGCATGGATGTGGTGTTCTGGGTTTGATTTCATTTTTATATATTTGAGTCAAGGTCTCCTGTGTATCTCTGGTTGACCTGGAACTAGCTTTGAAGATTCACAGAAATTCTCCTGCCTCTGCCTACTGAGTGCTGGGATTAAATGTGTGCAGCACTACACCCAGCATGTGTTTTATTTTTTATTTTCAGACAAGGTCTCACTTTATAGCCTCCAAGTTATAATTCGGCCTCAGCTTCCTGAGTGCTGGAATTAGAGACATCACTACCACATATGACTTACTCTGGACATTTTAATCCGCACCTGTGGTGTGTGTGTCTGTGTGTGTATCTTCATCATGTATGCCATGGTATATATGTGAAGGTCAAAGGGAGTTTGGAATTGGTTCTTTCCACCAACTTTATACGGGTTCTGGGGATCAAACTTGGGTGGCCAGGATTATATAGCAAGCACCTTTACCCGCTGGGCCATCTTCCTACCTACCACCTGTGACTTCAATAGCAGTCACACTCTACTGCTCCATGGTATGGTCATTCCTTTTTCTATCCATGACTGGAAAGGTCTGTTTCTGGAGATCTGTTACTGAGGAGACAAGGAAATGCATAGACTGTGGCTGTGGTAACCTTGCAAGACATGGAGCCTTGAGTTTTCTCTGTCAGACATCATATAAGCATTTCTCCTACAGCTAGGGCACTAAACCAGCCCTGTGGGGGACTTTATTTCCTTTACAAGATGCCTGCTAGGACAGTTGAGAGGATAGCATTTCTAGAGTGCCTGTCGAGTAATTCTAAAACCCTAGTTTGAAGCAAATTTACATGGCAATCCTTATTGGTTAAGCAATTAAATTAGTTTTCCCTTTGCTGAAAAGATGAATCTTTTATTTTTTAAAGACAAAGTTTCTGTGTGTAGCCCTGGCTGTCCTGGGACTCACTTTGTAGACCAGGCTGGCCTTGAACTCAGGGATCTGCCCAACTCTGCCTCCTAAATGTTGGGATTAAAGGCGTGTGCCACCACACCTGGCCCAAAAAGATCTTTACTGATCTTTACTCAGCCCGTTCCCTCAGTGGCAGGGTTTGCAGCGTTGGGAACTCTGTCACTCCCCAGAAACTAACTGTATTTAGTGTTTGGAGATCACAGAGATTAAGGTCTGCTCGGGGCCACTTGAGAGCCTCACTGTGTTCCTCTTGATAACTGTGGAACTTTTTGCCTCTGTCTACTTTGACTACTGTTTGCTTTAAATTTGTTACAGGTTTAATGCTTGTTCATAACAAGTTGGTGGACCCCCTGTACAGTATCAAGGAGAAGGAAATTCAGAAAAGCCAATCTGCTAAGAAGCCATACAGTGACTAGCTTGTACTCAGTACCTCAGAGGAGCAGGCAGGTTTTTCCGGAAAGTGTCTGTAGGAGAGTAGAATTACTTTTCAGTCCACTATGGCTGCTGCAGATCCTTGGCTAGGCACATACAGGCTGAGGAGCTATGGAAAACATTGTTCATAACTTTTCCCCCTTTTTCAGTACTGGGAGCTGAAACTGGGGAGGTTCTTTGCTAACTGAGCTATGTCCCCAACTTTCTGCCCCCTTTCATAATTTTTTTGTAACAATCAGAGATCTGTATCACTGACTGTCATTATACCCAGGTGAGGACTCCACTTCTCTTCTGCCCCTATGCACGTGGCCAGCACATTTCCATTGAGGAATTCTGCCTGTATATGCACCTTTTCTCGAGTGGGCAGGGATTAGGGCTTGTGCATTTTGGACATAACCTTTTTGGAGTTTTGAGAGCCCCTCTTCTGCCAGCCTTCCTATTGGGAATTTTTGTTTTAGAGAATGCACTTCCAGAACCTGAATTATGCACAAGCAAGCAGCCCTTCCTGCCAGAACCAAGTACTTGGGGGAGAAGCCTGTCCCCTGTTCCCATTGGGTGGATTCTTTCCTGTTGTCAATAGCTAGCCTTTCTGTAAACAGACTTTCTGGGTAGGATTAGGCATGTTGGGCTAAGATGGCTTTCACAGATACACTCAAAGCTCCCAAAGGCCAGCCATGTATTGTTCTCTCTCAAGAGTCCAACAAGAGAAAGGTGGAAAGCCCTCCTGTCCGAGCTCTGTTCTCAACAGATTCTTTTCACACTCCCTAGTAAGGAGATCCCCTCCGGTCACAAAAATGGCCATGATTTTAGTGTTTTCTACTCAAGGTGGGGAGCTTGCATCTGCACATATGTGCTCTGCTCTCCAGCCTCCTCAGAGCTGAGTGCCAACATTATACATGCTAGTGCTGTCTCCTCGCTTAAACCCCTGGCATTCCCACCTCAGGTTTACAAGGTATCCTCTGTTCTCCAAGCATCACAACCAAGCCTTCACCCACCTGTCCTTCCAGCTCCTGTCCTTCCCAGGCTCTTCTGCTCCTCTGCTCCTTGGCCTCCTTTTATATTCTCCACCTCTCTGGAGTGGTTGCTGCCTCCTTTTCTGTCCTTGTGCCTGTCTGAAGCTAGAGCTGCCTATTTCTAGGAGAGGTCTTTCAGATCCTGGCCCAGGCCTCTCCAGAAGTACTGTGTTTGGTACCAGCATTTGTTTGTAGTTTTTATATGTGATTGTGCTGTCATTCTGTGTTAAGCTAATGGATCAATGGACTTGTTTACAATGTGATATTTTCTATTAAATTTAATATTTTCAAATAAAATTTGTCTTTTGTGGATTTTGACATTCTCTTGAGTTTACTGCACCATTGTTGTGACAAGACACCATGGCCAAGGTAACATATACAAGAAAGAGCATTTAATTGGGGACTTCCTCACAGATTCAGAGGATCAGGTCATTAATATCAGGACAGAGTACGGCAGCAGGTGGGCATGATGCTGGAATAGTATGCAAGACAAATGCAGAAGGGGAGATACTGGCCTGCCGTGGGCTTTTGAAACCTCAAAGCCCGTCTTCGGTGACACACCTCCAACAGAGCAACACCTCCCAGTCATTCCTCAACAGTCCACTCACTGGGAGCCACAACATTCGAATACATGAGTCTGTGGAGGCCACTCTACCAAAATCTCCCTAGGGTGCAGAAGATTATCTAATAAAATGTATATGGGGAACCCCTGTAAACATGGTGTTGGAAGGGGACACAGCCTGTGTCTGCAGCCTAGCCAGTTTTCTAGGCCCTGGGGTCGAAGGATGGGTGCTGTCTGGATGTCGCACACTGGACCTGGTCTGCTCTCGGGGCCTTCGTTCAGAGAAACCTGGCTGAATAACAACGGCACTATGACAGCAGGACATCATAAACTGTCAGCACTATGTCAGCAGGACATCATAAACTGTACAGGGAGCTTTGGAGGCATTTACTGACATCCGAGGTTGGACAAAACTGAAAAAGCAAAATGAGTTTAGTGCTTCAGGAAGTGTGAAAGCTGCCACTTCACCACCAGGAGAGTAACTGAAAATCAGGGGTCATCAACAAATCTAGTGAAGATATTTGATCAGGTTGGTACTGAGCCACCATTTAGAACTGGTAAACTAATGAGCAGGAAAATCATCCAAAAAGGAGTGAACGTGGCACCCTAGGGTCCCATTGATTAAGAGTGGCCTCATGTTGGGGTACACTGTATATATCTGTCCTTTCTTACCTACCTAGGGCATTCTCTGATTGGCTTTAATAGAAATCTGGTAGCCAATTATCTGGACAAGAAGTGGATGGTGGGACTTCCTGGGAGGGAGAAAAGAACTCTGGGAAGAATAAAGAGGAAGGCATTTTCTCCAGGAGACATGAGAGGAGACAGACATGACTATGGGCTTGGAAGGTATAGCTAGCCATGTGGCTGGATGAGGCTGGGTGGTCGGGTTAACTTAGATGAGCTAGTTGAGAGTCTGCCCAGCTAGGGCCTAAAGTTTGAAATATTAAAAGGTCTCTATATTGTTATTTGAGGAACTAGCTGGCTAAAGAACTGCCTCTATATTAATTTCCAGCATTAATAAATACTGGATATTAATTCCTTTTATACCCATAGACTCATACATATATTTGAATGCTTAGTCACTAGGGAGTGGCACTATTTGAAAGGATTAGGAGGATTAGGAGGAATGACCTTGTTGGAGGATTTATGTCACTGAAGGTAGGTTTTGAGGTTTCAAAGGCCCATGCCATGCCCAGAGTCTCCTGCTCCCTCCCACTCCCTCTCCCTCTCCCTCTGAAGATCAGGATGTAGCCCTCAGCTACTATCCAGTGCCAGGCTGCATGTCACCATGCTGCCCACCATGATGATAATGGACTAACCCTCTAAAAATAAGCCCCCAATTAAATGCTTGCTTTAATAAAAATTGCCTTGGTTGTTGTGTAGCAAAACTTCATACTCTATTCTCACAAGCACGGCAATTATCTGCTGATCTCCTCAATCTTTTTTTTTTTTTCTTTTTGGTTTTTCAAGACAGGGTTTCTCTAAATAGTCCTGGCTGTCCTGGAGCTCACTCTGTAGACCAGGCTAGCCTCGAACTCAGAAATCCGCCTGCCTCTGCCTCCCAAGTGCTGGGATTAAAGGTGTGCGCCACCACTGCCCGGCTGATCTTCTCAATCTTAAAGGTGAAAACAGACTAAGAATTAAGCACATGGGTGAGAAGTACAGTTGAAATAAACAGATGGGCAATGCATAGTAACGTTCTGACAGAATCTACACAGGCAATCAGCTGTTAAAAATAGGCAGGGGTTGGAGATGCTGTTCAGTGGATGCTCGCTGTCTTAGGGTTTCTATTGCTGAGAAGAGACACCATGACCAAGGCAACTCTTATAAAGGACAACATTTAATTGGGGCTGGCTTAGAGGTTCACTCCATTATCATCATGGCAGGAAACATGGCCATGTCCAGACAGATGGTGCTGGATATTGAGCTAAGGGTTCTACATCTTGATCTGAAGGTGCTCAGAAGACTGGCATCCCCAGGCAGCTAGGAGGAAGCTCTTTTGCCCACCTCACAGTGACATACTTCTTCCAATAAGGACACTCCTACTCCAACAAAGCCACACCTCCTAATAGTGCCTGGGGCAAGCATATTCAAACCACTGCAGTTGCCTAATACCATGAAGCTCTGGAGTTACCCCAGTACTACATTAACAATTGCATGGTATGCTTAAATGAAGTCAACATTTGAGTATTTTGAATCAACATAACCAATTAAAGAGGCACAATAAGAAAGTAGGAGCCACCTTTTATCCCAGCACTCAGCACCATATACATATATATGTGTATATGTATATATGTGTATATATGTATATATATACGTATATTACATATATACGTATATATATGTGTGTGTATATATACATATATGTACATATATATACATATATATGTGTATATATACATATATGTACATATATATATATTAACAATTTTAAGGTTAAAACAGACATAGTATGAAACAAAATATGAATTAGGGAAAAGACTTAATGATTACAAGTTGGATACATCAGATACAATGTGGGACCTTGCAAAGGTTTGGTTCTGGGGTCTATTTTCCTGCGTATCCCCACAGTAGTCATCCTGTACCAGTCAGTGCCGTTGTAGGTCAAGTGGGTCATGCACCCCTGTGCTAATCTGGGCTCCTTGGAGAAAAACACATCATACATGTGGGCCTGAAATAATCTTAGAAAATAAAGACTCAAAAAAAAAAAAAGAAAATAAAGACTCTTTCAAGATGTATGCCTCAGTGTTGAGAGGGTATATGATGCAAGCCTTACTAAGTCAGGTTCACAAGTTCAAGGCTAGCCTGGGCCACACAACAAAAGCCTACCTCAACAACAGTTTCTGTTGTCTCTACAGACAAGCTGAATCTATACAACAGCAAGCCTAATATTCAAAGAGGGGTGGGTGGGGTGGGTGAAATACAGATATTTCAGCAGGAATGGAGAGAACGTTTAAGGTTTTTCTTTGTTTAGTAAAAAATGGCAGTGTGGACATGTGTATGCCATCATACATTGGATCCCTCTGCGCAATAGAGACAGAAACAGGAGCCCAGCCCACAGGTCCCCCAACCCAAATATCAACCAACAGAGCCATCATACCATCTCTTGCATATAACTACAATCTGTGTTCCCTAGCTTCTCTGCCCAACTCTCAGAACTGCTTACAGGCTGACAGGTGTTTTATTTCCTCCTAACTAGAAGCCTCATAGGGAACACTGTTTGTATTGACATGCCTTCAAGCTCACTAATTATTCCCTGGCTGTGTCTAGTCTACTGATGAGCTCACTAAAGAAATCTGTGGTCATTATGTTTAACTTTTAACTCTTTTGGGTTTGGGTTTTTTTTTTTAAGATTTATTTTTACGTATATATGAGCATACTGTAGCTGTCTTCAGACACACCAGAAGAGCGCATCAGATCCCTTTACAGATGGTTGTGAGCCACCATGTGGTTGCTGGGACTTGAACTCAGGACCTCTGGAAGACCAGTCTCTTAACCACTGAGCCATCTCTCCAGCCCAGGTTTTAGTTTCTTATCTTGCTGACTTTTCTATCCCTTCATGTCTTTTGTTGTTGAAGACTTTAGTATGTTAATTATAGTTACTTCCCAGTCCAAAAACTATGTCACATTTAAGCCTGGGTCTGATGTCTGCATTGTGTCTACTTCTCTTCTGGCATTGTTTTACAGGGCCTGGCCCTGCTGTATGGGAATAGGAGCTAAACCCAGCAGGTCTTTCATGTACTCACTCAATGTTGCCTGCTAGCCTGTGTCTAAAGATCGCTGTAGCTGTGCCCAGAGGTTCCTTGTTTTGTTTTCTCACCTCATCTTCAGATCTCCTTTAAAAATCTTTATAGCACCTGAGTCTTACTGCTCTTTCGGTGGCCACAGAGGTTCTCAGGAGTTGCGTGGATGGCCTGTTCCAGAATTTTTTATTAAACTTCTTTTGAGACTGTCCCATCCTCATCCATTCCCAGTAGGTGAAAGCCCCTGGGTTGGGAATTTCCTAGCTTTCTTCCCCAATCCCCTACCCCATCCTTCAGACAGGAGGCAAGAGGGGCCTGGAGACATCCAGTTGGCCTTGTAGTGACAGATCAAAGAAGGGTCTAGCAAAACAGTCCATGAGGTCAGGCTTCTAAGAACGAAGTCTGGAGCTACTTTATGTTTCAGTGGCCCCCTTCCCTTCTTCTGCCCAAAGCACAAGAAGGTCTTGGTGTGTGCGTGTGCACGTGTGTGCATGCGTACATGTGTGTGCATGTGTGTACGTGTGTGTACATGTGTGTACGTGTGTGTGTACATGTGTGTGCATGCGTACACGTGTGCGTAGTGTCATGAACCCTGTGGTGGTGGCATTCCCAAAGCTTACCCCGCACATGCACCGCTTCATTGAGAGCTGTGAGGTGGCTGGAAGTAGAAGTCATCACGGTGTGAAGGGCCACTTGAGGGAGAACATAGATTGTTTCTCTGCCCTTTTCTGGTAGAGGATAATCTGTAATCTCAGTCCTCTGTGAGTGACCTCAGAAGAGCTGTTGCTTTTTACCTTATACTTGTTTTCCTGTTATAACAGCCATGTCTTTTTCAAACATACTCCAGATTTTCACACACATGCCACTCTCCAACATCAGTCTCCAGTGTTCTAAACGTGGATCACTTAGGGGCAGTTATTAGAATTCAGGTTACTGACCTATTTGCAGTATGCTATGAGACTGATCATGTTTCCCTTTACATAACATGACTTCTATATCACACAATG